CTTCTGAAGAGCCAAGGACACAATCAATAGAGCAAATAGACAACATACACAATGGGAGACAATATTTGCATGGTATACTTCTGATAAAGGACTGATAGCCAGAATCCACAAAGAACTCAAGCAAATCAGCAAAGGAAAAAAGCAAACAACCCCATTAAAAATGGTCAAAATATAGTAACATAAACTTTTCAAAAGAAGATAGACTAATGGCCAACAAACACGTGACTAAATCCTCAATGTCTCTAACATCAAGGAAGTGCAAATCAAAATCATAGTGAGGTATCACCTGACTCTAGTGAGAATGGTTTTTATCAAAATGTCCCAAAACAGCATATGCTGGTGAGGATGTGGAGAGAAAGATACACCATAGGACTGTACACCAGTAGAACAATTGTGGAAAGTAGTATGGAAATTCCTCAAAGAACTAAAAGCGGACCTACCATTTGATACAGCAAACCCACTACTGGGTATTTACCCAAAAGAAAAAGGACATTTCACAAAAAAGACACTTGTACTCAAATGTTTATAGCAGCCTAATTCACAATTGCAAAGATGTGGAATCAACACATTTGCCCATCGATATATGAGTGAATTAATAAAATGTAGTATATATACTACAGAGCACTACTCAGCCATAAAAAATGCTTATCTAGTTTCTTTTGTAACAACTGAAATGGAACTAGAGACCATTCTTAATGAAATATCGCAAGAATGGAAAAACAAACACCACATGTACTCAGTAATAAATTGGAACTAACCGATCAACATTTATGTGCACATATGGAAGTAAAATTCAAAGGAAATCAAGTAGGTGGCAGGGGGTCAGAGGGGATGAGCAGATTTACACCTAACAGGTACAATCCATACTAACTGGATAAAGAGCACACTTACAATTTTGACTCAAACTGTACAAAAGCAAATTATGTAATGAAAATGTGTGTACCCCCATAAAATTCTGAAATAAAAAAGCAAATAACAGCTCATCAATTATAAGCTATAATAATTAATTTTTAAAAATCAAATGATTTTCTTGTTTCTTCCAAAAAATAATGTATTTATCCTTTTCATAAGGCTAAAATATTCTCCCAGATTTTGAAAAATATGTTTGCTATTATTGAAACATTATATTAAGGGAAGGCTTCATCTCCTTGCAACACACAAACTCTATTCTTTCTTACCCTTATTCCCTACCAAGCTTATGGCTCACCTTCCTCTTTTTGTTAAGACATTTTGTGCTCTTAGTATGTAGAACTTCATAAGTACCCTTCAGTCACTCTTCTTATAAATTGATTCTAAACAATTGACTTCACATATTATTTTTGGTTACATCCACTTTTACCCTTCTTAAGATGCATCTGAAATCCCCCCTAAGCACCACTCATCTCAGATATTAGAAAAGAACCTTATTCCACAAGGTTTCTCTTGTGGAATATACTCTTTCAACAATCTGATCTTTTACCTCTCTCAATTTATATCAATTCCATAATCATATATATTTCCTTACTCCCTAGATCCCACAAACATTACAAACAATGAAACAGCACTTTAAACATCTGTATGTGTATTATTCTCCTGTTGACTTCTGTGAAGAGCCCTTCACAAATAATATATTTTTCTATCTGATTGAATTTGTTTATGGTATCTCAACTGAATAAAATGTTCTATCTTAACATAGGCCTCTGGGTTCTTCGTTTTTTGTATAAAGAGTATCTACTATAGACTGAGTCCTAACACCATTTCATTTACTCTTCCCAATCGCCCCATGTGGTAGATATTGATAACCTTGCTTTACAAATGGGTGTTTTTGGTAGGGAAAGAGTTACTGAGAGAAAAGGGAGTGAGTAGGACTGAAACCACCGTACAGAATTGAAATTAGTAGGTTAAAGATGCTAAGGAGTTTGCTCAATCTCACTCTGCTGGTCATGTTAGAGCTGGGTTTAATCTAGCAGAACCAGCCTTCAGAGTGTGGGCCTTCAGTGTGCTCAGCAGGAAGTTATATCTGGGGGAATAAGGACTTTCTGGAAGACAAGTCAGTTTCAGGACACCTCAAAACCCTGACTTAATAATGGAATTAGAGACACTGGAAGCTATTATTCCTGAAATTTCTGAAATTGAGGAAAAACTAGTGCCCTTGTGGATTGGATTCATTTTCTAAGAAATATGGAGTTTGGAACCAGCTCCACTATATCTGCATATGTTGGCACATTTTTCTTAAAAATATGATCACACTCTTACCCTTTAAAATTGCAAAAATGTCACCTCTGACTACCTGTCATTAAAAGTAAGTAACACTCATTTCAGAAGCACATCTTTTCCCTCAACACTATTTGCCTTTCTGTACCTTCTATAATATGAAAGTTAAATAACCTAAATAATAACCCTGCAATTACTACAGAAAAAAATACCAGCTATGCTAAAATGAAACTGGATATTATTCACTTGTTATTATTATAGACTATATATGTAGAATATAAAAATAATAATTTGCACTCATCCAACTTCTTTTACTCTAATGTCTCAAATCCCTGAGTGTAAGTGGTCTCATTAAGTTTACCAAACCAATTTAACTCTAACATGTTCTTGAACCTTCTCTCTAAATCTACTGAGACTTTCCTGTCACAAATGCTGAACATTATCATCTGAAATTCTGAGCATTCTGTAGAAAAGTTTGACCTTCTGTCGATAAAACTCATTTAATCATTTAGTTAAATATTAAATAGACAAAACTACCAAAATACAAAAGGAAAACATGACTATTGTGTATTTACGGAAATCTACACAACATCCACAAACATTCACATATACAAAATCACTAAATTTATGCATAACTGTATATTTATTATAATAAGGAAAATTTTGGCTATAAGAACAGTTAGAAAGACAAAAAGAAATATTTTATCTAGATCCATGGGAACAATGTCCACTGGATTTTTTTAAAACTCCATTCATTTAGGCAGCAAATGCTACTCAGATGTTTATTCAGTACCCATCACATTCTAGGAACTTGGAGGATATAAAGATAAATTATTTATAGAAAATATACAAATGCCCAACTACTTCCAGTATAGAGTGGAATATAGCAAGTTCCATGAAGACAAAGACAATGTAGATATTGTTAGCTCTGTATCACAGCACCTAATACTGTGAATGGCAAATATTAGATGCCAATATGTGTGTGATAAATATATAATGAGAAAGTATCGTCCTTCCATGATGTAGAAGTTCAAAGGAAGGACAGGTTACTTCTGTCAGGTGTGATCCTGGAAAGCTTTCTATAGCACAAAGTATTCAATTTGAGTCTAAGCAATGGGGAGATGGTTTTAAAGGAGAGAATAACATACCAGGCAGAGGCCAGTGCACAAACACAAAGATACAGAGGCAGGAATGTGCAAGACAGCCTTCAGGAATAGCAAATTATTCAGTTTGGCAGTCAAGCATAGGAAATCAATAAGGAAGGACTAGTAAATACATAAGGCTAAAAAATTAGATTGAGGCCAGTCTGCTAAAATACAGAAATGCCAAGTTAAGAAGTCCAGATTTTATTCTTAAAGGAATACTTGTGTTTAGATTCCTGTATACCAGCTTAGCCACTTGCCAAGGAGTCATCATCCTTGATGCTGCTTCTGAAGAATCTCTCTGACAATCATCATGACATCTGATGATTGTCAGAGAGATTCTTCAGAAGCAAGTCCTAATTATATTATCAGCTACTCTCTAAGAAGCTGCTCCAAATAAAAACATGAAAAATACAGCAGCCCCAGAAGAGAAGAGAAGGACTAAAGAAATAGGAGAGACATTCCTAGAAATGATTAATGTTGGGGAGTTTCACCAGTTCTAAGTCTGTTACCAGACACCTGTTATATTTAACATGGTATTTTGAACACAAGTTACTTTAGCTCTAGTCTTCAGAAAGTTAATACACAAATCTTAACAGATGAAAAGGACTCCAAGGGAATATAAGCCTCTTCAGAGACCTGTAATATGTTATAAAATATACCCCCTTTCTAATGAGAGACTAATTAATAGACCAAAATGGCATAAAGTAGTCTTCCTAGATACACAAAGTTGTGCCATTCATTTACTGCAAACACAAATGATCATTAACTTTAGGGAAATAAAGGTACAGAACATGACTTAAGGAACTTACAAACAAGTTGAATATAAGTTGGAGACTCTTAAGTCCTAGAAGATTTATAATATTTAATTTTATTTTCTCAAATACCTCATGAGTTTAATACAACTATTTCCATTTTATAGTTAAGAAAATTAAGGTTAAAATGTGTAAATAATTTCCCCAGTGAGAAAAGTAGCAGAGCCAGAATTCAAACCCAAATTGCTTAAATTTTAGAGTTCATACTCCATCTTTTGTACCATATAGCTTTAGCATCTATTAATAGTTTAGTATATGGAATACTCCATATTATCTAAAAGCAGAAGCATAAGACTATTTAGTTTCTATGTCTTGGCTCCACCTTTCCTTAGTTGACTGTCTTTGCACCTATTCCTAACATTTTTATGCTTCAGTTTCTTTAATTGTAAAATAAGGGGGAAATAATATTAAAATATCAGTACTTACCTTATAGGGTTGCTGTGAGATTTAAATGAAATAATACATGTAAAGTGCTTAGGTAAATGGCAGACCTAAAGAAAAGGCTCATTAAAATTAGCTGTTGTCAGTGAAACTTCATTACAATTACAAAAATTTAGAAAATTTGATGTACGTTTTCTTGATCTCAACATCCAAAGTCTTCCTGCAACTAAAAAGAAATCCCTGGGAAATGTTATGCAGTAGTTTAATTGTACACAAAGGAATATATGTAGTATTAACACGGGAAAAGTTCACCACAGTTGCATAGTTTTTTGGAAAGACAACTCTAGTAACACTGGTAACTTTCCTGACACTGATAAATAGGACTGATTAGCAAATTTGTTATCTGTTTATTTTCTGCCAGTATAAACCCCCAAATAAAAGGACACATTTCTGTAATTTACAAACTTACCCATGAATGTAAGAGATCCATATCTGAGCAAGAAGACTTGAGATGTGGGTGGTGAATACAGGAGGAGGAATGGTCCCAGGATCCAAATTGGGAAATTTGAAAATCAACATATGGCCAGATTGGATTTTCTGGAAAAGGCTTCCAGCTGTGCCACATGTGAACTTCACCTTCACAGTGGACTAACATATGTTCCAAGTTGCATTCGTTAGAGGTGCTAGATCTACTCAGTGACGCAGAAAGAGAACCCAATCCAATCTCCATTTCTTCCTTCCTCCTTGTGCTAATATTACTAACTTTCTTTCCTTGAGATTTGGTTAATTTCAAACAGGAAATCAGTGTGTCATCTTCATCTTCTGAATGACAAAAAAAGTTAGAAACTAAAATTGCTTGTAATTCTTCACATGTTGAAATTATAAATACTATATACTTACCTTTATACAATAGAAATGAACAGCACATGGTAAGCCAAGAGGTCACTCAGTTTCACAAAATAATACACAATAGTGTTTCTTTAAAGAGTAAGTTTTTTTGTTACATGAAATTATTTGTTTTTTAAAAAATGAGATTTATCTGAAACTTTTTGAAATCATATCTATTAATTAAAGCCAATTGGACTGGACTGAATGGAAGCCATATGCAAATAGAATACTGAAAGATATTTGAGAAAAATTATTTTTAAAAAGCCCTTACATCTTATTAGATCATGTGCTTTTATTCTTGAATATTTTTTACTTTTTTGAGGTCATGTGTACAAGGCAGCATCATAAGAAAGCAAATGAAATTATTTTCTTTACTTAAAAGAATGAAATCTCAGTGGATATGAACTGAAATTCTACTGACATGCTTAAATTGTCTATTTTAATATCAATCAACAAAGAAATATATGCATGTACTGTGTCTTATAGTGAACTATTTTGGAAAAGCAAGAACAAGATTGAGAAAACAAAATAAAAAGTCTTATCTTTGATACTATAAAGTTGATTAGTGAGATCTATATTTTCACAATGTGCCAAGGGGTCTGATGAAATTTCTAGTAATGTGTAAAAGAGTTACAGAAAATAGAAATATATATCACTCATAGTAAATTGCCCTATAACATTGAATCTCTTTAAATCCAGGTGTTCAGTGGGTGAAAGCAAAAGATTATGATTAAGAATGCTACTCTAAATAAATAAATAAATGTAAATCAAGATTGCATGTCATGAACATACCAATTTGCTACACTTACATCAAAATGCAAAACTACTATTTTCTATGGCCAAGGAATGGGAACAGTGGACGTTGCTGACCCTCATTTTCTTGCTGAGCTTCATCTATGCCATTCTCTCTCTCTCTCTCTCTCTCTCTCTCTCTCTCTCTCTCTCCCTCCTTCCCCTAGACTAGCCCTGAAAGGAAGGAGAAATGGGGCGGGAATAGGTAGGTATGGGGTCAAATTCAGGAATAGGATGGGGATATTTGTTTCAAAATAACTTGGCAAAAAGAAAAAAAAAAAAAAAAACCTCAACATTTAATGATTATTTTAAGACCTTATCTACATGGATTTCATTAATAGATGCTTCCCCAGTTCTCCCTCAAAGAAATTTCAGCAGCTTGTTCAGCTCTTACTTACGGAGATTTATTAGCGTAGGTTTCGCCTCATCCAGACTCGGCACCCTGGCTTTCTTGGACCAAACCAGTTTCTGTAGTCGCTTTAGTGTCCTCATGGATTCCACGGGGTCACCCTCTGATTTTATGGCCTAACACAAACACAGCTCAGGGTAAAGACAAAATATTCTTCACAAAAGATGAATTGTGAAATATGTTGAGATCATACATGTCAGAAAATTAATAATGCAACCTTAAAACCTGAAACCTGAGTCAATTTAAGCAATAACTTGAAAAAAAAACCCACACTTTAGAGGGTTCAAAATTGTAAAGTATGTTATAACTGTCCAGACATAGTAAAACAGAGTGGTTTTAGCAATTTTTTTCAGTTCAAAATGCAGCAAAATAGATTGATTTTAGAGCCATCTATAAATGACTCACTTTTGCCCAATGTATAATAGTAGAAAAGAACAAGGTCTTTGCAGTTTGATGTAGACGGAACAAAAAGTTTAAAGTTGCTACTTACAAATGTTGGAACAGACTGATAATATGCAAAATCTACCTACTGATATCGCATAAAGCAAAATTCAAATCATCTTCATTTTCCTCTTGGAAATTTCTAGGAAAACATCATTTATTTCAAGTTTGGACTGTTTTCAAATGACATACATTTTTAAAATAGTCTCCTGCTTTCTAGAAGATATGCACTGAGCAAAACAAAATATAGCCACAGAAATACCATATTATGTTTTAGCATGTTAGTGTCACTTGTTTATTATGATATAATATGGATAAAAAAAGAATTAACATTGTATTAATGACTCAAGGTTTCCTTGAATGATACAGAAATATTTCCCACTAGTTTAATGTTGGTGAATTTGTATTTATACTGCTTTTAAAAATTATTTTTAGGATATTACTTCTTAAGAATTTTAAAATATTTTGGAAATTAATAATTTACATGCTGTTTTATATTAATTGGTAAATAGCTGTATTCTGTTATATTAACAAGATGTGAGGTAATACATATGAGAATACTTCTTTTTCATCCAGAGAGCTCTGGACTCAGAAATATTTCTTCACTTTTTGTCTCATTCTTTTCAATGAACCACTGATAAATGACATGTGAATAAATACTGCAATTTTCTAAAGGCCAATGATTTGCTTCCTCATTAATGTTTGAAGGAGGTGTATTTCTAATAGTGCTCTCCAATCCTTTGACAGAAACTATAAGCCCAAGAAAATGTTTGGAAGTAAAGGCTATATGGTATGCAAACATTTCCAATCTTTATACTCAACTTTTATTTTTGGTCTTTAAGAATAACTTTGAAAACTTAATATAAACTTGGTGTTCTGTCTCTACGTAACAGCACCTAAGTAGAAAGTGTGATGTTTTGTCAGAGTAAGCCATACCTGGTTGCATTAAATAAATGAGAAAATATTGAAATCACTTTAATCTTTCAGAAAGGACTGCAATGAGATATTCTTAGATATGCAAATTCCTCCCTCTCTTTCCAAAGGTCATGCTCAATTCAACACAATTTTTATTGCTGTTTATTTTTTGTATTATTTTCTCTGTATTCCTTTCCAGTGCCTTCTGAGTTATTTGGTTTTATAAACCTCTTACAACTCAGGAAGAGCCCTTTTCTAATCTTTAGACCATTCCAGAAGGGATAAGCTGACATTGCACAACCATTTTTTTCTTTGCTGTGCCTCGTTTCTTATGGCAACTTCTTCTTACAACCAAAGCTTGATTGTTCCATTGAAACATTGGCATCAGAACCAGCCTTCTTTCTCTCCCTTCTTTATGAAAATGATTTTCACTTGATTTGGAGAAAGGTGTTACATACCCGGGAAATTGAACTTCATATTAATGACTTGCCACCAGGAGGAATGGAAGCATTTGGAAGGTGTCTAAATTCAAATGAGTGAGATCTCATGGCAATAAGCTTTTAAAACCACCTAACCCTTCATTGTTTTGTTCACACTCTATTATTTAAAAATTTAAAAACAATATTGTTAATATTTGTATCTTTATTCACTTTATCTTTGAGTTACTAGACATCAGTCTACTGTATTTTATTCATTTTTTAATCCCATGTGCCTAGGATAGTGAATGGATTAATAAATGTTTGCTGAATGTAAATGCACTGCTAATTTTATATGTATGTTTTATATAACAAAAGGATTATCTAGAGTACATTTTTGATACTAGACTAGCTAGTTTCTAACAGCAAGTAATACTTTGGGACAACTTCCTCTTGCTATTAGGTAGATATACCTGAAGGATAAAAATTAGAGCTATTATTATTTCATAAGAGACACAGAATCATTAAGACTATGTATCAAAAAGAAATCCTCTAGAAAATGTTTAAAATAATAACCTTATTTATCTCAGTTCCCTAATTTGTTCCCATATATTTGTGCTGAATGTGATTAAAACTTATAATAATGTGCCCCTTAATTTCTATTTTTTTAATTTCAAAGTATTATGGAGGTGTAAATATTTTGGGTTACGTGGATCACTTTTGTAATGCTTGAGTCAGGGTTAAAAGTGTGCCCATCACACTCAGATAGTGTTCACTGTACCCATTAGGTAGGTTTTTGCCCATCCCCTCTTCCCCCCTGCTTGATTTCCTTTAAGATTTACTTCCTTTTATGCACATGTGTGCTCAATTAGTTCTAATTTGATAGTGAGTACATGTGGTGTTTGCTTTTCCATTCTTTCACTACTTCACTTAGAATAATGGTCTCCAGTTTCATCCAAATTGTTGCAAAAGGCTTTACGTCATCCTTCTTCATGGCTGAGTAACATTCCATGGGATCTATCTATCTGTCTATCTATCTATGTATGCGTGTATGTGTACACACACACACACACATACCCCACATTTTGTTAATCCGCTCATGAACTGAAGGGCATTTGAGTTGATTCCACAACTTTGCAATTGTTAATTGTGCTGCTATAACCATTCAAGTGCAGATATCTTTTTGATAAAATGACTTCTTTTCTTTTGTATAAATACCCAGTAGTGGGATTGCTGGATCAAATGGTAGGTTGGCTTTTAGTTCTTTGAGGAATCTCCATGCTGTTTTCCATAGAGGCGGTACTAGTTTGTACTCCCATCAATGATGTGTAAGAGTCCCTTTCTCTCTGCAGCCAATTTCTAAATGTGTTCAAAGAATACTGGTCCATAAATTAAACTTAGCATTCAACCAATCTGTAAGCTTTTATTGAGCACGTACTATATACCAACCACTATCCCACATTCTGGGGATATGGCATTGAGCAAGTAAGATGAGATCACTGGTTTCATTGAGTCTACGTTCTAGAGGGAGGTGGTAGACTATGAACCTATAAACAAATACATAAAACAAAAAACTGTGAAACAACAAGTGCTCTTCCAAGAATTAACAGGGTAATTGGGTGGGGATGTGAGAGGGCATTTATTAATATAGACTGAGTGATTTGGAAGAGCTTCACTGAAGATACTAAAATTCAGGTCTGCCTGATGAGAAGGAACCAGACATGTGAAGATTTATAGATGGTTTTGGATTCAACAGATAGTCAGGAAGGATGTTTCACCTGAGACATGAAGGACAGAAAGGGGTCAGCCAGGCAAGCAGCAGAGAGAAGAGAAGTCCTGGAAGAGGATACAATTTGTGCAAAGGTTCTAAAGCTAGAATTCCTAGAAGAATTCTTATTGTGTGCCTAGGAAGGGAAAGAATGAAAGAGTACCATGAGATGAGACCAGAGACCACCTGGTGTCCCTCAAGAAGGCTTTTGTAGAGCAGACTGAAAAATATGTAATATTAAATCAGGGGAGTGACACAGCTTGGTTTACATTTGTGGTCATATTCTCTCTGTGTTAAATTTTGATTGTCTTCCCAATAGCATTCAAATGTGCTCTGATCTTATCCATTTTCACTATCTTTTATTCACCACTTTTTCTACTCCCTTTTCTAAGCATGCATCTTAAAAAAATTAACTGTGTACTTTTCTTTGAATTTAATTCCATTAATTTCCTATCCTTTCAGCCCACCTCATCTACTCAACAATCAGTTTTGTCTCTACCATGCCTCTTAAATTGTTTTCGTGGTCCAATAAACAATTTTCAAACTGTTTTACTACTTGATATCCAGCAAATGTTGACCACAATGAACTTCTGGAAACATTTTCTTTTCTTGGCTTCTATGACAATATGTTCCTCTGATTTTTTTTTTTTTTTTTGTCTTTTGTGGCTGTTCCTTCTTTAACTCCTATTTGGTGATGCCTTCCTTTTCTTGAAATTAAATGCTTAAATTCCTTTAGGATTAGCTCTGGGCTCTCTTCTTATATCACCAGCATTGTCTTATCATGTGCATACGTGCTCACACATACCACTTTTAACACTACTTATATGCTGATGACTCCTAATTTATTTCTTTATCCAGGCTTCAGACTCACAACATCCAACAATCTGTTTAAAACCATCGATAAATACAATCAGGACCGACCTCTGGACCTTTCCCCAAATCTGATTCTCATCCAGTCTTCTTCAACTCACTAAATGCCATCTTCATCTACCCAACTCCACATTCCATATCCTATCTCTAAAATATATCCTGAATTTATCTTTCTCCGTCTCCATTGTTATCTCCTTAGTTTAATTTACTTTTATTGAAACTATTGTCAAGTCTCTAATTGGTTTTCTTTTTATTTTTGCTTTCTAAGCTAAAGTCCTCTTTGAAAGTTGTGAATCTCCATCAAAATGGTAATTATATGGGACTGTAAATGTAATTTTCATATGCATATATAATATGCATATACTTTATCTTTTATATATTTATATCTATAAATGTAAATATCTTTACTTCATTTTGCTCACTCATCCTTAAATAATGTAAAAATTTCATTAGAAGTTCTAGGTTAAATATATCTCATTTTCTTACATGTTGTTTGACTATTAGGAATATAAAATAATTTTTAGACAAAAAGCATCAATGAATTGTTGAACTGAACTGTTCTTACAATCATATTTTATGAGCCGGGATGGAAATTACTGGACATTTAGTCTACCAGCCTACTTTAAAAAATGAGAAAAATACAAAGAAGCTAAGTGTCCTACTCAAAGAAAGATAATTTATTAATAAGAGAGTGAGGATGAGAATC